GATTTTTCTTTATAACAATCTATTTTTATATTCTTTCTACATAGATCCACTGTAAACATAAAAAGAAAGTAATTCAATAAAGTTTTCAAATTTTTTGAGAAGTACAACAACTACAACAAAACTTTACAGCTGTTTCAAAATTTAGGCTTTTGAAATAAATCTCTTGTGAACAATAAATTTTATTTTGTCCTTCTAGCTGTACAATCAATGGATATTCAAACAATTTTCTAGTTTGGACATATTTATTCGATGTAGTTTTTTGTCAAACGATGCCTAAACACTAAGTTTGTGTTAAAATACAAATGTAGTTTCAGAGGTGAACAATACCACAGCTTGCTTGCTCCCAAACTCTGAAGAATATTATGCCTACTCAGCTTTGATAAATGTAGATCATGGAAAAGAGTTTTACTGTTTATATGACGCTGAAGTAAGCGCAAATATGTTTCATCACTTTTTTCGATAAATTTTTATTCTTATATTACAACTTTTTGGTTTGAATTGTGTTCGTTATATTTTTTATTGCTAGCAACTACTACTGTTCGACATTACGGAGAGATTTATTTGTTAAAATAGTATTAAAATGTAGGCTTTCTAACCTGCACGTAAATTCCTGATTGCCTTGACAAGAAGCCTTCAAAAAAATAGAATGCTGCTGCGAGTTGTTCTTTTTATCAAAGCTTAGTTGGGCGCAGTTGAAGGTTTGGTTTTGTTGCATCGAATTAACTGTTGCAGTTCTTGAAACCGAGAAGTATGAAGGAAGCTGAACAATTCTGTCAAAATGATTTTCATGGTCATCTGTTGTCAGTCGGAAATCGATATGAGTTGAATTTCTTAAGTAGTAAGTTAATGTAAAATAGTGGTGCCTAATTACGTTTTTCAAAACTGGAACATGCATTACAGCCACTGTGGGCAGACTATGCTAACCAAAAAATTCCGGCAACAAAAAAGCTTAAGTCAGCAGGAAACAATAGGTCAGTCTTTCATCATTTTTCTCAACGGGCTTTGCACCTTCTGGTTGGAGTTTTTGCTATGAAGAACAATTTTTTATACATTAGAGCAAAATCTGATAGCAGATAACAATGAGTTACCAGCGGTTTAAACCAAAAAAATGCTTTTTTGCAAAAGTTGACAGCCCTTTCAAGAACTTCCTCCTCCTGGTCTTTTTTGGTACTATTCTACCTCTGTATGAATCTCCAATGTGTGATATAAGTAATATTAAAAAGAGGAAAAGTTTGGGATATGATAATTTTTGCGATGCATTAGTGTTCAGAAGTTTTACTTTTTCTACGCTTATTTGTTTGATAATGGCGTCTGACAATATTTTGTAGCATCTGTGGCTGTTCTCTGATAACTTATTTTCTCGAATTTGTTACATGGAATTTGAAAATGGCAATAATCCGTTCTTATGTTGCAAGTTTTGCACAGCATCTAAGAAAATGTCGGAGAGCCTTACAAATTTGTCACCTCTCTAATATCTGAGCCAATTACAAAAATGTCGGTTTTTCTTTGGACGTAAAAAAAAATTTAAAACAGGCTTGCGTTACGCTTTTATAAAAAAAACTACATTTCTATAGAGTTAATACTTTTTGATTTACATTCTTGTACTAAATGTAGCTTTACTTCTTCATGTTTTCATCATACTAGGTTGTCTTCTAACTGTGGAATAGCTTACATCACTGTGTTTTTATGGGGCCTGTATACTTTTACTTGGATAAGCTCAAACCACGTTTTTAAGCAGGTGTCAGTATCTGCAAATTTGCATTGATCACATTTTTTAGTGCAATTACAGAGCCTCACGCTACATTTATTTTATAAGCTATCTTTAACTGCTGCGCATCTACGTAATAACAGGTCGTAATTAAACAAGTGTCACAGTTTTTCATTCTCCGATCTTATATTTATATAAAAGCTTAACTTTAAAAGCAAACCGCGAAATTGCAATTACATAAGATCAACTATCTCAACTTCCACACAAGGTACAACGCCAATCAGATTTTTTTTGGCTTCTTTTTACCAACTTTTTCAACAATAAAATTTTAAAAAAAGCGCAGTGGTATAGAAGAGAAAATGAGGCATAAGCGCGGTAAATAAGATAACATATTTATAAGGTTTTTTAAGTGTTAAGAGACTACAGTCATTTTGATCAAGATTTTTATGTTATGAAATAATTTGTAAGTTCTCAATATCCAAACCTCAAAATAGTTGGTTGCGGGTAGCAACTGAATAACTTTATTTATCACGCAACAGATGATGAAGTATTTAGCAAAAATTATGAGTCTTATACTTTACGTCTATCAGTTCGCTGAAATGCATTTCCGATCATGATGAGGTTTGAGCGTAAACGATTTCATCGCCACATTGTGAAAATGAAAACTGTTAAGAATACTTTTAGTTATATTCGAAGTACAAGGTGCAAAACTTAAAAATTAAAAGACAACGATCTCTGAAATAAAAGAAACTTCGGAAATTTTCCATACGACAAGTTTTTATGATTACTTTCTAAATCAATATTTTTTTATTCAGGGACATTAGAGGTATGACTGCACAAATGTTTTATTGTAAAATAGTCAAAAAGAATCTCTAACGAAGGCTTTTGTATAGCTAACTTTCAACGTTTCCAATTTTAAACTCTGAAATCGTGTTTAAGTAAAAACACGTTTGTCAGCCGTCAAAACAAGTTTAGCTTCACGGAACTGCATATACAGGGAAAGCGCAATTAAGTGCTAAGTTTTTAAAAAGTAGGCAGATATGGACGACTGCGAAGGCAGAGTAGCGCACGGTAGAAATTTGGTGCGGAATAAAGAAACAAAAACAATTTTTATAGAAACGATACTGAATTTTAGAAGTAGCCATCTGGAACAAATTTTGGCTGTACCACTGAACACGTAGGGAATCTGAATTTCATTCTTTTCTTTCGTATTTTATCTCTTTGACTTAGACTACGCAATTACAAATTCATAATACCTCTTAAAATTAATAACTCCGGTAAAAAGTAACACAAAGTGTTCACAGAATACGTATTGGTCAAACAAAGTTCAGAACTCTGATAGTTTGTCTTATCCCATTTGAACTTGTTTACAGATTACCTTTTTGAAAGTTATGCATCAATGAAGACGTCTTCGAAACTTTACGATGCTAGGCCATTGGGTGTCTTAAGAACGGAGAATGAAACTGCCTATACGGATAAAATTACTGACGTTAAATACACTCTTTATAGAGAGGAAAATGAGCTTAACGTACTGGATTATGATGGCCAATGTCTTATTTTAGCTCGTCACTCTAAAATGCAGAGAGGTCTGAATTTATGCCCTGCAGAAAATATTAAAATAGTACAGGAAGTTAGTTTAAGTGTTAACGTTTTCTGAACAGTGACCAAGCCTCAAAGTTGCATTTAAAAAAATGCTGTCTAGAGCTGCTTATTTAGACTCTGTATGGGCTGCTAATTGTCAGAGGAAGTACAAAAAATTTGCGTGCAAATTAATTTTGGCTAGCAAGCACTACACAGTCAGTTTTTTCTCTGTTTGTATGCAAGTATATTATCATTTTTTTCTAAATATTTGTAAGGATCTTTACGTATAGCTTATCTTAAAAAAGACTGTTGTTAATGCACCAAAAACAAAAAGAATTCCAAAATTTTTCTTTAATTATAAGTATATAAATTAAGCTAATTAATTGCAGGAAATTTTATTGTCACTTTCTGCGAAAATATTTTGTTTAGAAATCTACTGCCGCTCATGGTTTCCTCAAGTCCTTTAGTCGAAAAATAGTCGATTTACTGCAATGGTTCATAAAAGTTCATCTTCACTGTAAGGTTTAATTTTATGCTTTATCAATTAATAACAGAGTGACTAACTAGGTCTAGTTGAAAACAATTAGAAAAAGCTTTTTTTTTTTTCAATAAATAATCTAATGCGGCAGGGTAAAATTTAAAAACTTCGTATTTTTTTGATTACGTTATTTTACCAATTGCTGTATTTTTCAGATCCTTTAATTGCCTGGCCTGTAACTCTGTCTATATTTGGCTTACTAATCATATGCTTCCGCTATACACTCACCAAAAAAACACTTTTACAACCGGTCTACTATAGGTGCTTCTCGGCCGTATACTATGCATCTGTTCCAGAAGAAGGACTAAGAAAACGAGGAAGATCAAAGTCTACGATGGATGACTTAACTTCGCGTGCGTCGCAATATACAACAACAGAAACGGAAGTTCGTAAATTCAAATAGACTTTAAGCTTCTTTAATCCTTCTAATTTTTAATCGCATTATATTCGTAAATACAGTTTGAAAAAGCTAATTTCTGTGCTTAATCACTACTTTACAGTTTGAGACCGTAAACGAAGAATTCTACACAGATGATAAGGAAAATGGATCTCGCAGCGAAAGATCAAACGAAGACATTTGATAAGAAAGGAAGTTAGAGGAAGAAAAGATTTATTCTGAATGCTAATAAATACCTACAAGATCTTGATGATTATACAGTAAAAAAATGACTATCTGTTCCAAAATAAACAACAGACTGGAAAACTTGAATCACGGATCTCTACATGGTTTATTTCCAGTCAGAATTTCTTTTCCTCTGTTTGGCTGACATTTTTAGATGAGTTTCTCTTTGTGTCGCTCAGAAAGTATATTAACTTACACTTACATGAGAAATATTTTTTTCTGTTGCATTTTATGTTTTATTGAAAAGAGCTGAACAATCTGAAAATCGATGATTTCTTACTGAACAATGATTTGCTAAAGGGAACTACTATAATTCTGGTGTTCAGAAACCATTCAAATGTTTACATTAAGACTTTATTTTATTCTGCTTCTAATTTTCTTTTCTCATATAAGAACAGTACAAAATTCTTCCCTGTTGTACAACTTTAGCTATTTATAAATTAGGTTCTGCTGAATGATATAAAAACGAACAGGATTTATAGCTGTTTTCCTCGTTAACCCTACGATTAGTTTTGTCGTTGCTATTTTTTGTTGTAACTGATCAAAATGCTGGTACAGAGGAGGACAGAGGCAACTGCAGTGGCACTGCATAATGAACATAATTGACGATGGTGTACTTTGTCGGTGTAATACTGCTGATTACGAGACTTGTCAAAATTGTATTTCTCTTGCTTCTATCCACTGAAACTGTCCTAAAAAATGATTCAGTTGTTATCACTTTGCTGCGAATAATAAGCTTCGGAAGTTCAAAGGTTGTTTTACGCTTTTTTTTGTAATAGTTGTTTACAATCTTTTATTAATGTTTTATATTGTAAAACATTTCATTTTAATTAGAAGTAATTTGAGTTATGTTTACTATGTATCGGATACTTAAAACTGAACGTTTACTAACGTAAAGTAAATCTATCACAGATACGAGTTTATTGGTTTTTCAACAAAATCTTTAGCTGTGTTTCGAATGAACAAAAAAGCAACTTTATGTCTATGGAAAAAAAAACAGTTTGCTACTAGAAATAATATATGTTTTAACTTTTCCAAAAAAAAAAAATTGGAAGTAGTTGCTTTTAATACAGTTTAGCAGAATAATTTCAGTAAAAAAAAATGTTGTCCGCAAACTGTGTGAGAAGAAAAATTCAAGTTGGGTTTTACTTTCAATAAAGTAATTATATTTTATCAGTTTAAGCTGAAAAAGTGCAGAAACAACAGGGGTAATATTGCGAAACAAAAGTAGTTTAAGCATTTCAATTTTCTTCAGTAGTCAATCTATAATACGGGTCAACTTCTGTACGGTTTGGCAAAAATTAAGGAAGTATTAATTTACCAAAACATTTTCTGCATTTAATGCATTCTGTCTTTTACCATCCAAATTTGTAATTTTTAGTTTACTCAGCTGTAAACATTTTTTGCCTTTTTGAATTTTATTTGTTTTCTTTTTTCTTTCTTTGGTAGCTTTTCACATTTGGTGTTGACACGCGAAAACAAAAAATAAAGCAATATTAAAAACTTTAAAAAAGTAATTTTAAATTTTTTCTTGAAAAATTTCATTTTTATAGTGTAAGAAGATATTGGATTGTCAATGCTGTTCTTTAGAAAGCCGGTAAACAACGGCGATCGTCTGCAAAGAAGTGTTCGACGGCTAATTCAGTTTGAGGATTATACAATAATAGAATTGTTTGTTAGATAATGTAAACAGGTTCTTTAACTTGGTCTTAAAAAGTTGGAATATCACAGAAAAAGTTGAGCCAAAAACATTACTGAAGATTTAAGATTTGCGATATTTACAGCATGGTGAACATTTATAGACGACAGAACGGTGTTTTCGGACAGCAATGAATGAACTGTAAATTAATAAAGATTGAAAATGTCAGTTCAGTGTAGTCTATCCTTCTGCATTCAACTGCTTAAAAAAGCATCAATAAAAATTATAAATTTTTTTTTGAACAGAGTGTAAAAGCGGCTGTCAGTATCTAAAAACAGCTCTGTTTCTTAAATCCTTATGAACTGTAAGACAGAAATTAGCGAATGAACAGTGTTTGAACCAGATGAAACTTATTCAGCCAACCGTAATTGTTAGTCTTCTTGTTTTGTTAAAAGGTCAGTTTCTTTCTGTCACTTTGTTTTTTGTTCTTTTATGACTGCTTTTCATTAGCTTTATTTTTTTGGTGAACATTTTTGTTATTGATTAAAAATTTTGAGCTTTAGTTCAATCTAGCTCATTTAGGGTCTAGTACAAGAAAAAAACTTTTATTCAAGTAGTCTTTCATTTCTGTATAATTTCAACTGCAAACAACCATAGGTCGATTTAATAATTATGTAAAATAGACTGCAATTTCAGGTATTCTTTGTTTTATCCCCTACAATGTAAAGTTTACTGCCGAATCTGGACTCCATCATGATACCGATGCTTTGAAGGCATTCGTTGGAGATCCTACGCCTGATTATGAGGTTATTTTTCTGTTAACACTGTCATAGAAGTAAGATTCTACGTTTTCTCCCATGTTTTCTTCACTTACACAACGAACTAAAAAACTCTGTATCATTAATTTTTACTTTATATACTAAATTATTCAGTTCATATATCTTAAGAATAAATAGAAACAAAAAAAAAGAACTGAATTCAGTCAGTTATAAATCTTTAGACAAATTTATTTAATTTAGCGTCAAAAAAGAAAGTCAGAGCCTAGCAATTTCAGTAAGTTACTGCTTTCTGAATTTTCACATGTATTCTAAATTACGCGTTGTTGAAATGTTTCTTCAATGATTTTGTCAAGTGAAAATTTAAGCGACAGCGAAAACCAGAATTGGTATGTCCCAATGGCAGCAAAAGTTCTCCCAGTATTTTACAGTTATCAACAGTTCTGCAAACTGATAGCGGTTTGTAGATCAATCACTTAAAAAAGTTTTTTTGTCTCGTTGTCGACTGCCTATGATTTTTTAGAAAAAGAAGGCAGTTGCAACACCTATGCTGGAGAGGTAACAGAAGAACCAATTCTGGTCAGAAAAGTCACTGATGTATCAGAATTCCAATGTATTTATCAAACAGAGGTTCTTTTTCGTTAACTATCTATAACAGTGCCATCTAAAAATAGTTTATGAGAAATTTTGAAATTGACAAGCCATAACTAGTTCTGTTAAAACCACCAACGATACCCATATCCGATACCGTAAAGTGCGTTTTGAGAATAAGTTTCTTCTTAGCTACTTGTAAATTATATAACCGTAAAGTTTGGCAAATTATCTAAAGATTTGCTCCGGCCTTTTAAAAGTGGTCCAACAACTACGAATATCTTAGCTGCAGACCAGTTTATAAAAATTCTTCAATGCTTTACTACTGAAAAAGAGCTTCAACGTACTTTTAACAACGCCTATCACAGTTTATTTCATGATTAGCAAGCGCATTATACAAGGTATAAATCAGTCACAGTGTTACTGACTTGTTTAAACGTTTATTAAATAAGTTTTTCAGCTGGAAAACTGTGTTACATCTAAGGAGAAATTTAAACGCTATTCACAGAAATTCCCCTTGTAAAACTTCAAATAAATAAGAGTAATAAATGCTACTATTAGGCATCTATTGGAAGAAATTTTTTTGAGTATGCTGCAAGAGGGCAACTAAAAAAGTTTCTTTATTATTTTTATAGTTAAGAATTCCTACTCTTAAACAAAATTTCTTGATCATCAGCCTTCATTTTTTGCATACAGGGTTTACTAAAATGCCCAATTCATCTGTGATAGTTTCAGACTTCGCTGTTTGGTTCTTCTTCCTTCTCTAACGATTTAATTATTGAAGTGTAGCAGTAACTCTTTTTACAAAGTTCACAGATTACGCGGCCTGAAGTTCGAGTGCCGCTGGCACGCCTTTTAAAAGCGAATCAGCAGTTTGCACCGTGCATCTATCTATGTAAAAGCGATATTACAAGGATAGCTTGACTCTTAACTTTAAAACTTTGAATCCAAAAAGAGAGAGAATTGGCAAAACAACAACACGTCACGGTATTAAAGAAAAGGAAACAAGAAAAAGTCAAACGTGAACAAACAGTCGAAATCCCCAGCCGCAAGAAAACAAAAAAAAAAAAAAAAAGAGAACAGCAGTAGTAATGCCATCAATAAGGTCTTTTATTTTTCTTGACCTTAATTTACGCTGCGCTGGCAGCCAATTTCATAAATATCAGGCATTTTCCACCTAATGCTGACACTTCCTCTCCTGTAACTGCTTTGACTTTAATTCAAATTTAATTTTTTCCATAACCCTTTGTCAATGTAAAAACACAGAGTTTATTCAAGTTTTGCCAATCAACGAGCTTCCTATAGATGTAACTTCTTATTCCGTTTCTCCAGTGTCCAGAAAGAGTTTTTGGAATTATCTGCAAAAGAAATTACATAGAAGGTTCTCAAGGATAATATTCTTTGATTCTTTCAACGTGAATTTCTCTAGCACCAACTCCATAAAAAACTGGAAAATGTGATGCGGTATTTTCTTCCTTCCCTTTATTATTTATTATTAAAATAAGGCATTTCTATTGCTACTTTTAACAATATTTTCAGCTAGTAGCGCTAAAAAACTTTAGTGGACTGGAAAGCTACTGTCGAAAAATGTTTGGAGGACACTTACTCTCAATTGCAGACTATAACGAGCAGAAATTTCTGCAGAGTAAGTTTTTACATTATGTTCATTTTGAAAAAACGCCTTTTTTCGAAGATCTGTCAAGTAAAGCCTTCCAATTAAATTATTATTAAGTTTGCGTAAAACTTCTGAACTAGAGTTCACTTTAAAAACACGGTGCTTATGAAAGTTATTTAATCTGGTACTGAAACAGCAACATTTTTTTACAGAAAGAACTACAGCAGCTGCACTTTGATGTAGTATCAAGTTGGCACCTTTGTATCCTCAATTCTTTTAACTATATATTATCGGCATTGACTTGCTAAACTTGCGAATTTTAAAGACAAAAAATTTGAAAAGTTTTCGCGCACTCTCACACTGTAACGTATGAAAAGAAATCATCCAAGCGCTTGACCTGAGTAAACTTATACACCAGTGTATGGATCACTTAAAAAACGAAATTTATTTGCAGTTGCAACGTAGTTTATGAGGATTAAGTTCGGGTGATCAAGACATACTTAGATTTAAAAATTTCGATTGAACTCACCAGATCCAGACAGTGAAATAAACTTTTTTTTTTGGCGAACTTCCGGCCACTTGTTGCGGCGATTCCTTTTGCTTAATTATCAAAGAAATTTTGAAACAACTTTTCAAGAAATTCAGTGAGTTACCAGATAGAACAGTGCTTAAACTTTTCTAAAGAAACTGAAAAGACGAAGAAAAAGATCACGATCTAAGCGATGTTCAGCAGCTGCAGTGGTTATAGGGTTGTCGCTTTTCGGGATCAGGTAAGAAGTGAGGAATAACTAAGATGTTTTTCATTTTACATGACCCATATAACAACTCCTTTTTGCATTTAAGTGGTAAACACTTATCGCTTTAGTGCTGATATTTTTAATCGCGTCCAGAAATTATCTATTGGTTTATAAATATTTTATGTACTGCAAGTCCCATCGCTCAAGGCACTTGTAATTTACAGTATTGTCTAGCGGAAAATGTTATAGTCGGAAGGTCAAAGAGAAAAGGTTTACAAAGTGAAGCCACACAGCTATGAGGGCCATAAAATGTCTATCACTTCAAGCCGAGGACTCACACACACTATTACTGAGCAAAAGTTACTAGACTGACCAAAAAAGAAATCTGCAACTCGTTTCTTTTCTGTCTCACTCATACGTTCCTACTATAGGCCAAAACCTTCAAGCTTTTCATTTGCGGTTTGTAGCTGTAAGTAGAATTAAAAGCAAAAAGTTGATAAAACGTGTTTCGTAGCAGTTTTCCACAGCATTAATGTTGAATTCTTTCGTCCATAATTAAGATTCTCATAGTGATTGTTTGCTCAAGGTGTCTGCACCAAAAATTGGTGTTACGGCAGTTCAGTTCGTCAGTAAAAAATGGTTAAAAGACAACTGCTACACTGCAATCTTTGTACCCAAATAATACTGCCTCGTTGCAGGAAATACTTGTTGTACTAAATCTCACTTTATGCAGTAGTCGACAAAGTTGCTCGTGAACCTGGTTAGTGTACCATACATGTGTCTTGAGTAGGTAAAAAGGCCTCTCTTTTGCATCACCTCTCTCTGTTAGCAATTACACGTTAGCAGTTACTGGAAAAAAGCCGGTAGCCTTGGCTACCTTTCAACAGAGTCTGCTCTTTTTTCATCTGAAAATGCTTGTTTATCACTTCTTTTATACTCGCCTGTGAAGGCATTAAAGAAAAATTAGGCAGTTTGCATATGACAAAAAAATGAAAAAGGTTTTTTACAGGTATAAGCCTTAATTTCTAATTAACAGAAATGCTATAAGCCAGTCAGTGTTAAGTAAAAGTACCTTCCCTTATGGCAGACAAAACTGGCTATTTCTTGGTTATTGAAATATTTGCCGTTAATTTTGGTTATTCTTTAGCTAGATGTCCCCTAACATTTCGTAACCTACTTCATTTCTTTAAACTGAAAATTTACCACTATCCTGGATTTAATAATATATTATTCACCTCTCGGACATATATGGATATTTTATGGCCAAAGAAACTTTATACATTTTGTAAAAAGAAGTCTATAAACTACTGCCGAATTGTTTCTACATTAAGAGGTGCAAATGTCTGCTCTGGTTTTTTCTAGTTTAACGGCATTTCAACGCTAAATTACCAAGTTTTAAAAACTACATCATTAATTATTCAAGTCGATACAAAATCGTCCGTTCCTTCTCCACAGCTGTTTCCTTTTTATAAAAACACTAAAATAAGCAAAAAAAAGTAATTTTATAAGAAGAAAATTATAAAAAATCGATAGTTTCAGATTAGAACAAGTTTTTTTTTTTTTTCAGATAACATTCTTATTAGCAAAAAGAGCGCGATCGTTCTACTAGGACTGGCACCTGGTGAGGAGATTTTCACTGATGGGACAGATGGTAATTTTACGCTGGAGCAGATAGGAATACTGAAAGTTAACGAAGCTAGAGAAAATATGCAATGTATTGGCCTTTCCTTCAGTAAGTTTGGACACCTCAAAACAAGTTCTTTCTTCCGTTTTACTTTAATTTCTATAAACAACGTTTAATTGAACTGCAAAAAACTTCCACAAAAGAAATCTCCCAAAGAACATCCCAAACAAAAGACAATTTACCCGCATAATAGTAATAAGTCATATAATTTGGTTTTTAAAAAAAGCAGTGGTCAACAACTGGAAAAAAATTTTATCAGTCCTTACAGAGTTTCGACTCTTCGCTTCACTGCTCACTTATTTCTGTCCCCAGAAAATTTTTTGGATAGAATAAAGTTTTTAAACCGAGATTAAAGAAACCTTACGGTCAGGTAGTTATCACTTTTCTGTGCCGTCCATAAAACGCAAGAAAAAAACTATTAATAAAAAATTAAAGATTATTTTGCTAAGTGGTTGTACCTCATAATAAGCCAAAGGCAGGTAAAGAATTCAGATTTAGTCATTTGTCGAAATAATTGGAACTTCCATTCCACCATATTACATCAGATGAAAATACATCAGTTAAACAACGGGTCTGAAACATTTATAGCTGTGAAAACAAAACAACAATTATAGGCTCGCCCACTTCCAAACTACTTTTCAGAACCTCGCTAAAAAAAAGAATTTGTGTTTACTGGAACAATCTGAACTGCTGAAACATGAAGGTTATAACGGAAATCACTTCGGAATGGTTTCCAAGTATTCAGGATCCTTAAGATGGCAACCTTAAAAACTTGAAAGCCACTTTGGGAAAATTCTATAATTAGAAAGCTTTAATGACTAGCAGTGGAACTATACTAGACTGACTAAAGATAACGTATCTTTTTGAATTTATAAAGTCAAGTGTATCAAAATTTTTAGGTGATGTCAAGACTACGGATTGTGACAATAGTCTTGCGAAATTACTTGTCTGCAGAGCGGACGCTGGTATCAATGAAGTAAAAATTAAATCTGTTTTAGTGATTAAAAAAATGGCTGATGAGGACATATTAAAACTTATGTTAACTTTTAATGGGTTCTAGAGTTATTTCGGCTTTTCTCTACAAATTTTAGTAGAGAAGCTTAATACTTAATTTGACGGAAGATACGGGCAATTTCTGTAATTGTTATTTAGTGCACAATCCACAATTTGTTATTTAGTGCACAATCCACAATGTTTTTCAGAACCGTCGGGGTCGTTACGGTTTGTTTTCTCTATGCTCTTTCGTTCTTTATGCTTTTCCAATTGGTTTTGAAGAGAAAAGAAGTAATTTTTATAAGAAATACAGCATAAATTTAGACTGAATAAACAATTTTCTGTTTCCTTCTATTCACTTGTCTTTTTAGTTGTGGGAGGTGAATGCCCCGATGCGCCTAAGGGCGGGAATGATCAATTTATTAGCAGATTGGTGTTAGTCACTAACAGTACTACCAAGTACTGCATTCATGAGGCTAATGTTCGTTGACGTCAGCACCTTATTTTAATTGAAATTATCTGCCTTAATAGAATTTACTTCTCTTGCCAGCATTTTGTTAACTACATTGAGCAGTTTTCTTATGCTGGGATTTGATGCATACTTTCTGAATTTTTCTGTACATTACGCTTTTGCATAGGAGAACTTACTTGAGCTTGAAACAGAAAAGGAGCAAGTATAATACGAAGTAAAAGGTATGCATTTAGGAGAAAAGAATAATAACCTTCGGCAGGTTTTCTCCACTTTTAGTAATGCTAGCCATTGACGCTAACTGTCGCTCTTCAAGGTGCCATATTTGAAAAAACGTGAAATTATCCCGATTTCTAACCAGCAATTTTGAACAGCTATTAGAATACTTTTTTATAAATATTTATATGTTATTAATAGGTTGTTAAATTGACAAGCAAAAGCTTCTAATCTTTATAAAAATTTATTCTTTTCTGTGACACGCATAGACGTCGCTGTTTTAGGCGTTTAATGAATAAAACGTTGAAAAATGGCTGTTTTATGTCTATAAAACTGCGCAAAGTTAAATTTACAGCAGAATTTCAAATATATAGTAAACAAAAAATATTTAGAATTATTTCTTCAAAATGTTTGTGAATGGAAAGATGTAAATTTTTTTGTTTCATTTATGCTACTTTTTTAAATAAAACTTAGTGGCAAACTATGTGTGTGATCGGCTTATTAGAAGTTACAATTTAAGTATCATAAAACCTCAGCTCTATGGTTTAATGATGGTGAAAAGTTCTGCCAGGAAACGTTCAAAGGCCATCTTTTGTCGGTGAATAATAGAGAGGAAGACGCTTTTTTACGCGGTTAGTTGTCTAGAGTGTCGTTCATTTAATCTTCCTTGGTTTTTGCAATTCTATTTTAGTTGTTTCCTACTTTTTTTTCCAGTTAATCTGATGTATCTTACAACGAAGATTATCTATAACGTGTCCATTAAGGGATTTTGCATCCGCCATTTACTTCAAAAAAGGAGTCGCGAGTACTGCTAGGATTATTGGCTTACAAAAGCGAATTGCTGGACTTCACAGATGGTAGCGATGGAGGATATGTATTTAAACAAGCTCTTATCGAAGATCCAACTCTTTTGCATCAAATACATAATATACCAGCTCTCTGTTTTGCAATGGTCAGAGACTATGAGGCCAAGAAAGGTATGTTACTCTTTTTTGTTGATATTATCAAGTTTTTGCACTCTACTGCCGGAAATTTTTTTCTTTTCAGATACTTATACTGTACATAATTGCATAGGGTCTCAAACCAAAGTAGTCTGCAAATCAAAATACCCGTTAAAAGAACCAGCTGTAAGTGCTGTTAAAATTTAAAAATATCATATTTTCATCTTCTTTTAAGGTAGTGTTCTTTTTGTGAAATAAACTTTGTACTCATTTTTTCTGCTTGTCAATTCCTTTTATTATTTACAAGTTTTATTTAAAAAAATTCAAAGGTCAAGTAAGATGCAGATACAGAGCATACAAAAAAACATTTCCGAGGAATTATCAGAGACAGCAGTATGTGCAACAAGCTCCCATTTTTTCTGCGATGCTTTCAAAAGATTCTTTCTGCTGCAAAACCATTCCATGTTCTAAAGCGTGAACGACTAATCTTTTGTTTTGTACTACAAAATTAAACAAGTGACATACTCTTCAAGGCCACAATTTTTTTTGAACCTTGCAGAAAAACCTTTGAACCACAGCTAAAAGTAGAAAAAGCTGAAAATACAGAAAAAGCTAGTCTAGAAAGAGGGTAGGTTTACAAACAGCTCATAATTCTTATGTAGACGGAGAAGTGTGAAGTTTACATGCGCATATGGCGTCTTCAACGACTTACAAAAAGCCCACTGCAGTTCTTTCTTCGTGACACAAGTTTTATAATTGCTTCTGCTTTTTGGTAGCTTGAAGGTCACTATTTTTTGCAAATAAGTTTATAGAAAGAAACTGAAAAGACAGAAAGGATTTAGAAAAGCGAGAGATAGATTTCAAAAGCTTTTTTTAAACGACCAGTGCGTAAAATGTGATAGCAGCTGCAAAGTACTTTTCCTACTCTCACTGTGAAACTTTGGTGTGAGACTATGAACAGAAATTTGAAATTATTTATAAATATTGAGATATTGAAGATAACTGTGACAGTAAAAAAAATAAATAAGCTCTTTAAAGTGATTTTTCGAATTCCAGAGTAATATTTCTTGAAATAACGCAACGACAGAACAGCCCATAGGACGGAAGACCTCAGGTTCAAAAGCAGCTAACTAAGCTTCTTTCTTAGTTAGACTGTTACCGAAAACTCGTTTTGTGGGCTGTTAATTCTTTTTAGTTTTTCTTGGTGTTGTACGTTTTTGTATTTTGGCTATAGCTTCACACGATATCATTGTTCAATGCATGTGGAGAGCTGGACTGCGCAGAAAATTGCTCATTTTCATAAGGGAAAAGAATGTGACATTTAGGTGCTAGAAATCAGTTTAAACGCTGTTTTTTTATGGTTTTTAAAATTTTCTTGAGTAGTTTACTCATGTGCATTTACTCATGTGTTGCGTAGTTTACTCATGTGTTAAAAATCTATCTGTTTTCTCCTTAATTAAGCTTTGTTTGTTGTTCAACTTTTAAACTAATTTAGAGGAATTTTTATACACGGCATCTGTAAACATATAAAAATCTAAAAAAACACAGTGGTTTTTTCAGGATCGTTCAGGAAGGAATCGCCCTTTAATCGTTTACGGTAATCTTTCTGTTTTTATTTTTGTTACTTATTTCCTGGTCGATACGCACATTTTGAAAATTCAAAAATTAACGGAATTACTTCTGGTTCGGAGTCTTATGTTGGAAAGGAAACTAGAAGTAACAGGCTGCAAAAATAGACTGGAGATGAATTTATAACATACACAGTATAGTATGGTCGCCGATAAATCTGCTGCAAAGAATTTCAGATTGTAATTGAATGAGAAATTTTTTTTATAGTAGACTTTATTTTAGTTAGATATACAAAAACTAAGCTTTTAGAAACCTTTTTAGAATATAAAAAAAGCTTTATTTATTATTGCCAAGTCTGCCTTTTTTTCCAACTTTTTTCACATTTTTAATGTGATCATTTTTTTGATTTATATCCATAATTCCATCTTATGATTTTTTTAATACAGAGTAGGCGCATCAGAATTTCTTGAAAAATGTTCTAAAATGTCATTAAGACGACTGCAGCCACAGTTATAAGTAAAAAATGCTGTATTTCAGATGTTAGCCGAATCGCCACATGTGTTATCCCTCAATTAGACAATTTTTATGTGTACGCATCTTTAGTGAGTGCTAAAAACGGAAAATCTTTTTACTGCTTGTACGACATTGATGTAAGCTTATTTCTTGATTATGCCACATTCTTTTCTCAGTCAAGCACAAGTTATAGTTTTTTCTCAAAATTGTATAAAACTACGAAGGGCGTAATAAGATGCGTTAATTAAAGTTTTGGTTTTTAAACCACCTCTGGATTTTGTAACTGATAATGATTATATATTTGAATTAATATTTATTTTTGCGTTAGAACAAAGCAAAGAATTTTTACATATTAAGAGAGTTGAAAAACTAGTAATTAATTTGAAAAAAAAGTGATACTGACGGTATTCCAGCCAGTGGGTTTCTTTAATGTAACAGAAGCCGAATTTATTTGTCAGAGAGACTTTAGTGGTCACTTGCTCACTGTTAGCGATCGGTACGAGATGAGTTTTTTAAGTGGTAAGTTATGACAACGTTTTTTTTTACTTTCAGCATCAGTAAAACTCAAAGATAAATGTTCAGCAGTATCATCAAATTGCAACTCAATTGTTCACGTTTTTAGTTAACCTAAAATTTAAAATTGCTGCATAGTTGTTCTGTAGAGCATATCACTAAAAAGTTGGATTTATTTTCCCATATATACTTCGTAAAGATAGAAATTTTGTCTAATACGATTTGATCGGATTTACGAATGTAAACTTAACAAACTTACTTTAAAGATCGCCTTTTTGAGCCTTTTGGAGTTGGTAGAGGCTTAAAAGAGCTGGATTTTCTTCCACTCGGTGCCATTCGAAAAGATGATATAGTAGTTAGTACCAGTGATACCGATGTTCAGTTCATTGGAAACAGGGAATTAAATGAAATTGGTACCTTAGATGACGGAGGCGACTGTTTCACATTAGCAAGGCATTATGGCAGTTTAAGAAGTAAGCACCAATGTATTTTTAGTTAACCATTTCTATATCAGTTATTTAAAGGGAACTTTCTTGTATCTGCTCAGTATCGTTCTTTTTAAAGAATTTCTGGATTAATAATTGCATTTTAAAGTAATCTCAATACAACTCTCTGATTTATTTGTTGCTGCGTCAAGTTGGGTGACTTTTTTTTTATCTCTTTGAGTCTAGATACAATATATGCTGCTGACTGCGGAAGAAATTACAAACGGTTCGCGTGTAAAAGGACTGTAGAAGATGACAACTCTGTAAGCCATCAAATCAGCCTAACTTTTCAAATATCATATCTTTTTCTGACTGATAATTTCGAATTGAGATATATCACCTCTTAAGCATTTCTTTTTCTAATTGTTTTTCATATAATCTAAAAGTATCGGACGACTTCTGCAGTTAAGGGCTACAGAAAATGCACATCAGTTGGATCTAATAAAACAGTTCCTTGATTCTGTAAAAAATTCAACGCCGAGGCTTTTTTTAAACAGTCTTAGCAGATGCATTATTCATTTTAACAAAGGCGATTTAAAATTTAAAAGGTTTTTATTTTTAAACTTGAATATTGCATTCATTAACAGCGCTACAACGTATATCTATCACAAACAGCAGTAAAATAAAAAAATATTTTTAGTTAGTATTTGCTGATGACCCTGAAAAGAGGGGGTTTATGGCAATGCTGTGGGATGGAATTCAATCATCTGGTAATATTTTACCAAACTAACTGTGAAAAATGACAGCTGCGAAGCGTTTATCGCGTCGTAGTAAAAAATGTTGAATTTTTCTTCGTTATTTTCAAATACCCCTATAAGGATAGCAGCTCACCTCTCTGAAAAAGTATCTTTGCAATTGCTTTACTAGTGCTCTGACGCGATCTAGCCTAAAATTAACATTTCTTGTGTATCTTGGAAAACATTTTACACTTACTGAACCACTAGCAGAATGTAAAAATCACATGAAGTTTAAAGCGGTTCAAATACTTACTTGTAATCTTTCCTGTTAATGTCAGTCATATTATCTTCTGTGTAGTATTGCTATGGTGAATGATGCTCAAGATGGTGCCATTGAACATCAAGAATGTATTTGACATCTGTTACGTTGATCCGTTTCAGGTCCTGCACTACTAGTTATGGCAACCTTTGCTGTATTCATTGGAGCGGTTTGCTTCGCCTTATATCAATACTGGTTGATGGCACCGAGAAGGCCAAGGAGGAAGCATCTACGTAAAACCGTTACTACATATGATGCGGTAACAGAACCATCAGAGTACTCGGTAGCTGATCAAACTTATTTACTTATTTTTGGTTCACTGACCCATTTGTTCAATGGTTTGACAAGTTTAACTAAAATAAACAAATGAAAGCTTAAATTAATAAATCTTTTCAGCCCTTGTAAAAATAAACAAAATTAAATTATTATTTCTGTAACTAAAAAATTTTTTACAGCCAGTCGCAGCGGCTGCCACTTCACCTACTGTCAAAACAGCGGAATCACCTACGGAAACCGAATTTGGAGGGACTACAGGAAGCGATTTTGCGACAGACTTGTTCGAAAGTAGTCCCGGTCCTTCCCCACCACCAGTACCAGATTCTTCATCAACAACTTTTGGCGAGGTTGGAGCTCCAGCTCCTCCGCCTCCTCCTGGTGATTCTTCTACAGTGAGCAATGGAGCTGGTCCTCCTCCTCCTCCACTGCCTTCGGCTGCCGCCTCCTCACCATCACCAGCTCCTCCAGTACCTCTGTCTCCCCAAGAACCTCCGCCACCTCCACTGTCGCCAACTGAACTACCTAAATCTGCAGCCGCACCTCCACCTGCACCACCTCCTCCACCACTTTAAATTCAAAGTTGGAAACAGTAAAGCAGGGATTTGCTGTGGTTTTTAATCAAATTCTAAAAGGAGATTTGTTTGAAATTCAGTGTGACAAAAATTCCTGAAGAGTCGGTTTATATATAAAAAGCGGTAATAAAACAGTTTTTTTCAGCAACTTTTAACTTTTTTCATAAATTTTTCTCGGTTCTTGTGAAGTTTAGCGGAGTTTAAAATCTAAAAAGTGAATCAGGTACCATTCTGATTGTGTGTGATTAGACATCACATTAATATCTTCAGTGTAGGTACGATTCATATCTCGTACAAGGCTTTAATAAAAGTGCTACATATAAAACAAGCAACAGTTTTTTAAATTCACATTAGAGATTTCTAGCAAATGTCGTTAAAGCAGTTTTAGAATCATCTTTCGTTGTTAAGAGCTGCTGGGAACTACGGCATAAGTATTTAAAACCTAGTTTGCGGAAAACAGAAGATGTTTATGAAATGTTGGTAGAGATGATGCGGGTGTTGAAATAGTATACGGGCTCTGTGTTGTAATAATGCTGAATTAGCTCCAATTTCGAAGTGTTCGTTTTTAGCTTCTGCCCTGAACACCCTTACTTGTGCACTGACTAAGGCTGCTTATTGCAGCATGATGCTGCTAAAAATTTTGATGAAGAATTCGTTATTAGGAGCATGTTGTAACTTTTCGGATAAAGCAAGGAAATTTTGCAAAATTATGTCATTCTCTAAATATCCTTGTCAAATATTATTTCTTGACTGCTTTTTGTTAACCAACACAGTGTAGTCTATATCAGCTCTGACGTTTCAGAAAGGGAATTAGACTCTTGAGATCTTATTCCTTGTATAATTTTGTAGCACCACATGTGTGTTTGGCTTCTTCAAAACGGTAGTCTTAAGTCAAAGAGTGCCTATGTAGTGATCATTATGTTGGATAGAGGTGTAAAAACGTTTAATGGCAGTTGATGATTTAAATTGGTGCTGTAGTTTACTTGTTTTTATGCTCATAAAAAGTCTTTCATCTTGCAGCCACATCTCCGCTTTTTGAAAAAGCAGAAACTGGACAAGTTTAGTCCTTTACAGGCGTATCTTGTGTTTTTAGCTGGTGTATTAACCTCGTAAAAGGAATTGAACTTTTAAGAAAATACTTTATAGTCGGATTTCTGTAGAAACTTGACAGAAAATTCTTTTTTCATAAGCTGTCTAAGTAATAAGCAGTTACTACTCTTTTTGTCTAAGCTGTCTAGATTGCTTTGGTGCATCTTCTATTTTTATTAAGACTAATTCATTGTTAAAATGAAGAAACTGGCAGTGTTTGAGTGGAATCAAATTAAAATAAAAGTTTTGTGCTTAAGATCTGTTGAATGCATATCAGTAGTGGGATATTTGAAGGAAGAAATATCTGCTTCTAATGAAAGCGTCAACTTGCATTTTTTCTTATTTACTTTGATATTTTGCTTAGCGTATTATGTAATGATGATCAAGTCATAATCGTACTGATGGCCAAATACCAATGTACTAACATCTTATCACCGAAAAATTGTATCACCGAAAAAAAAAACTGAATTAGTTGCTTTTTTTTTTCAAACTGGAAGAAATTAATGACGATAAATCCTTGTTGTTTATTAAGATTTTGATGTGTTGGTTCATTGACATTAAATAATTCTGCAAAATCGCCCAGTGTTTTTAAGCGAAATTATAAAAAGTTAAGATATGTAATAGCTGCAAAACACTTTGTTGAGCAATTTGTAGAGGCATTAAGAAGGTTTTCGCTGCAGTGGTAGCTGCAATTGATTCAGTTTTTGCAAAAAATTTTGATCAGTTTCGACATTAATTGTGTAATCATAAAACTGAAAAAATTTGAATAAATAATCTGATGTATGATAGTTTATATTAATGTTTAATGCAAAACTATGTTCAAAAAGTAAAATTTCGTTTCTGTTTCTCACAGAGAAAAAA